CTGTCATAAACACATCACGCAGCCCCGGACATCCAGCGCCCCGGGCCGGGGGTCACCANCGGTTCGCCGCCCTCGTCCGATGGACGTGCGCTCGTCCGACGGCCGCGCGCTCGTCCGACGGCCGAGTCCTCGTCCGAGGGCGCCGATCCTCCGTCCGAGGGTCCGAGGGCGTCGGACGAGGGGGCGGCGCCCTCGTCCCGAGGGCGCCGAGGGCGCCGAGGGCGCCACCGACCCCCCTCAACTTACGAGACGGGGCCGTCCGCTAGGCGCAGAGCGCGAGGCCCTTGAACTTGGGCCCCATGGGGAGGCCGTCGGCCTTGCCCATCCAGGCGCAGTCGCCCTTCTGCGTCGGACTGTCGGTCTTGCAGAGCCACCAGGTACCTGTTCCATTGTAGTGACCGACGTTGTAGGTCGTCCAGTTCGCGGTCCCGACGATCTGCTGGCCCATGGCCTCGGGCATGTACTTGGCGATGCCCTGGTGGCTGAGGTCGTCGCCCATGCAGTCGACGCACGAGTTCCAGCAGTTGGCCCAGTCGCTCGCCGGCGCCGTGCCGTTGCGCGCGTCGCACGACGACGACGTCACGCCCAGGGCGCCGTCGGCCGGGCCCGGGCCGTCGCAGTCGGCGCAGTCCGGCGCGCAGTCGCAGTAGCCGTCGGCGTGCGCCGGGTCGTACGGCGACTGGCCGTCCTTCCAGGCGTTGCCCTGGCACTTGGTGCCGGCGCCCGCGCCGAGGAAGCCGGGAGAATCGGTGCAGGCGAGGGCCGCGCAGGACTCGGCGCCGGACAGGCCCTTCCGCGAGCACTCGGCCTCGTCGCACGCGTCGCAGTTGCCCGCGATCTGGCCCCAGCCCGCCTGCAGCAGGCACTGGACCGTCGTGCCCTCCGCGGGGCAGCGGCCCGACGCGACGTCGCCCGTCGGGTTCTGCGCGTCGGATTGCCAGCACGCGAGGTTCGCCGGATCGTAGTACTGGTTTACTTGCTCTCGCGTGCACATGTAGCTCTGGGCGTTCTCCGTGTTGAGCCAGGCCGACGGCCAGTTGTCGCGGTCGCGCACGCACGCCGTGACCTTGTCGTTCGTCCAATCAAAGGCGCATGCCGTCGCAGCGGCGATAGCAGCGAGAGAGATCCGCATCATCATGCTCTCGGAAGGGCAGCCAATGGCGGGCAGCCTCCGATGCGCCCGGGGGTCGCGGCGTCGCGGCTTCTTAAGTGGCTTCCTTACGCGGCGTCCTCGGGCGGCGGCTCCCCGGCGCAGTGGCCGAGCGCCTTCAGGGCGCCGTAGCCGAAGACGAAGGCGAGGGCCGCCGTGGCGGCCTTCTGGGCCGCCGTCGCCGCGCGGCCGCGCGCCGCCGCCGCCGCCGCCGCGGGCGGTCCGCGGCGGTCCGCGGCCGACGGGTCCGCGATGCGCCCGGCCGGCGGCTTGTAGTAGCTGCGGGGCGCCTTCCGCTTGGGCTTCCAGACGCGGGGCGCCGGCCGCGGCGCCGGCGCCCGGCGCGCGGACGCGTTGTGGAACGGGTCCACGGGGACCTCGCCCGCGGCGAGCTTCTCGCGAAACGCCGCGAGGTCCGCCGCGAAGCCCGGCGCCGCCGCGCGCGCGGAGATGTTCGCCGTCGCGAGGTCCCAGAGGGCGTAGTCGCGCATGTTCGCCGCCGGGAAGACGTCCGCCGCGTACTCGAGCAGGTCCGGCGGCTCCTCGGAGAGCGGCCTGCGCGACGCGCCGTCGCGATCCCCGAAAACATAAAACGGTACGCGGCGCGCGGCGGGTGCGGGTTCGCGTTCTGCGTCTTCCGGTCCCGCGCGTCGTAGAGCACCTGGCCCAGGGGCACGCCCAGCGCCCGCGCGAGCGCGACGAGGCTCTCGTCGAGGCGCTCGACCTGCGGGCGGCCGCGTCCGAGCCCGAGGGCGGAGACCTCGAAGAAGACGCGGCCGCACGCGCCGTCGCGACGAGGTCGTAGCGCGCGAGGACCGCCGCCGCGGCCTCCGCCGCGGCGGCCGCGTCGACGGGCGCGAGGAGGGGCCGCCAGGGCCGCGCGCACGCTTCGCCGAAGACGTCGGCCGGCGCCGCGTACTCGAACTCGTACTCGGCGCAGTGGTCCGCGAGGAAGGCGATCTTCTCCGCGCCCGTCGGGGCCGCGGACCTCGCCGCGGCGGGCTTGCGCTTGTTCTGGAAGTAGAACCAGGACAGGCACCGCGACAGCGGGTGGCGCACGGCCGTCCAGACGAACGCCGGGCGGGCGAGCGCGCCCAGGTCCACGAAGCGCCGCTCGGCGTGCGTCGTGTGGACGACGGGCTCGCCGCCGTGGCTGGCGATCTCCCGCGCGAGGCCCTTGGACGGCTTCGACCGGCACGGCGACCCCAGCGCCACGCGCCCGGGCTGCCGGTCCCGGAAGCGGTGCAGCCAGCGGCTCACCATGAGCGTCGTCTGCGCCCCCTGCGTCGACGCGCACTTGCCCGTCTTGATGAAGACGATGTTCGTCGCGTTCGACGCGTTCGTCGCGGCTGCGGCGGCCGCGAACGCGACGACGGGCCATCTCATCATGGTGGGGCTTCTTGCAGTGCGACGACAAAATTCAACATTAACACGCCCCGCACGTCGCCGCGCAGGCGACGTCCGCTCGGATGCCGGCCTCGTCCTTCTTCTTGCAGTTCTTGCTCTTCTTGGACACGTAGGCGCCGCACGTATGCTTCGCCTTCTTGTAGTGCCAGCTCGTCGAGTCCGCGCACTCGGCCGCGCACTCGCCGCACGCGGCGGGGCAGGCTTCGGAGCTCGACACCCCGGATTCTTCGTGGACGTACTTGCTCTTGCACCGCTTGGACTTTTTGGCGACGTAGTCGCAGTCGTATTTCGACTTCTTCCAGTACCAGGACGTCGAGTCCTCGCAGTCGCCGTCGGTGGGAAAGAGCGTCGGCGCGGGCGCCGGGACCTCGCACTCGCCGCACGCGGCGGGGCAGGCCACAGCGCTGATCACCTCGCTCTCGTCCGCGTACTTGCTCTTGCACCGCTTCGACTTCTTCGCGACGTAGTCGCAGTCGTGCTTCGACTTCTTCCAGTACCAGGACGTCGAATCGGCGCATTCGTCGGAACGCGGCGTCGGCGCGGCGACGGGAGTGGACGTCGGCCTGAACGAGGACTAGACGTCGAGAAAGAGCCATGCGAAGGCGAGGAAAAAAAGGGGCGTGCTGACTGTCGACGCCGCGGCCGACTCGGCGATCGGCACCGCGGTCGGTTCCCTCGTCGGCGCGACCGTCGGTTCCCTCGTGGGCGCGAGCGTCGTGGGCGCGAGCGTCGTGGGCGCGAGCGTCGTGGGCGCGAGCGTCGTGGGCGCGACCGTCGTGGGCGCGAGGGTCGTGGGCGCGACCGTCGTGGGCGCGCGCGTCGGCGCGAGCGTGTAGCTCACGCGGAAGTCGTACGAGTCGGCGACGGCCTCGTCGTCCTCGCACGCGAGCGTCAGCGTGTACTCGCTGACCTCGGCGTCGGCCGACGTCACCTGCATCTGCTGGCCGTCGTTGGCCGTCGTCGTGCTGCCGACGACGGTCCCGTCCGCTCTGGTGACGACGACCGACAGCGTCGCGCACGCGCCCGGGTCGCCGCGGTAGACCCAGCGCATCTCGCACGCGACGTCGGAGGCGCACGTCGACTCCGTGCCGACGCTCGTGATGGAGAGGAAGGACGCCGTCGGCGGTACCGTCGGAAGGGCGCTCGGCGACGACGAGGGCGCCGCGCTCGGAGACGACGACGGCGCGGCCGTCGTCGGCGCGGCCGTCGTCGGCGCCGGCGACGGCGCCGCGGACGGCGCCGGCTGCGGCGCGGCCGTCGGCGCCGACGAGACGGGCGCCGCGGACGGCGCCGGGGCCGGGGCCCGCGTCGGCCCCGCGGTCGGCGCGGGCGCGGGCGCCGCGGTCGGCGCGGGCGCGGGCGCGAGCGTCGGCGCGGCCGTCGCGGCCGCCGCGCAGCACGTGAGCGTGCACGCGTCGGTCACGTAGACCTGGCCGTAGCCGCTCGCCCAGGCCGCCTGCAGGACCATGTCCCCGTCCGCCGGCGCCGTGAGGCTCTGGCCGTTCTGGTCCGTGCGAGCGCCCGAACAACTTCCGCCGTCGAAGGCGCCGCCCGCGAGGTCGAAGAGGCGCCGGCCGCCCGTGCTGCTATACTTGCCGTGTACGCCGCGCCGGCCTCGTACTGGCCGCCGCAGGCGACGGCGGAGCCGTCCCGCTCGAACTGGACCGTCCGCGACGCCGACAGCGCCGTGTCCTGGCCCATCATCGACACCGGGCTGTCCGCGTCGTAGAGGGCGTCGCCGCAGCTCACGCGGCTCGGATAGGCCGCGGCGCGCCGCGCGGCGGCGGCGGCGACGGCCGCGAGCCCCACGCGCATGGCCTCGAATTGCTGTGCTGGCTGCGATGTCGCGAAGACGTCGGGCTGCTTCACTCTGAATCAGCTTCGAGCTTCGGTCGTTTCCGTCTGCACACGAGCTGCACGATCAGTTTTAGCCAGAGGTGCCGCCTCGTCGCGCCCGTCGGCCCCGAGATGCGGCCGGGCCGCTTCTCCATCATGCGGGCCGCGTTCACCGCCTCCCACCCTCGCCTACACGTCGAGCAACGACGCGGACGGCCCCACCTTGCACCTCATCGCGCCCAAGGCGGAGAGGTAAATGCGGGCGAGTCACCGGGTGCAGCACACAGACATTAGAGAGGGAGCGAGGCAGGTCGCCGGGTGCAGCACGCACACATCCTCGAGGGAGCGCGTCGCCCCAACCCCCGTCGGCCCGGCGCGTCGCCGGCGCTCGTCGCGTCGGCCCTCACACCTTGACGCAGTAGCACTGCGGGTGGTCCTCGAGCTGCTCCGAGCAGCACTTGACGCCGTAGTGGGCGAGGGTCCCCCGCTCGTGGTCGACGATGACGATGTAGCCCGTCTTCCGGCGGTGCTTGTCGCGCGTGATCCACGCGTTCTGCTCGCGCTCGCAGGTGCAGCAGCAGATGCTCCAGGGCGTGGGGATGCAGCCCAGGAAGCAGCAGGGGAACCAGAGGCAGTCCTCGCTGCACGCGCCGTTGTAGGTGTAGACGCAGCCCGGGAAGCCGACGCACGTCACGGGCACGCACTTGTGGCAGCCGGAAACGTTCTGGATGCTGGCCTGCTGCGGGGTCAGCGACCGGCTGTACGCGATCGCGTCGTTCGAGTGCAGCGGCTTCATGCCGCTGCAGCTGTCGCCCTCGCGCACGAGCGCGTGCACGTGCTCCTGGACCTGCGCTGGCGCCGGCCCCGCGGGCTGCGCCGTGATGACGGGTGGCGGTGCCTGGACCTGGAACTGACCGCCCGGCGGGCAGCCGGGCGGGATCTGCACGGCGATGACCTGGCCCGTGTTCGGGAGCGTGATCTGCATCTGCTGCCCCGGCTGGCCCCCGGGCGGGCACTGAACCGTAATGACCTGCGGCGCCGGCATGACCTGGCCGAGCACCTGCCCTGGCACGACCGCCCCGGCCGTCGGCACCATCGCGTACTGTTTATCCGCCATGATTCACGCGACGACGCGTCCAGCGCGCGGAGAGCCGGGCCGAGCGTGCGCGCGCGGCAACGCTGCGACAAGCCAGTTCCAATTCTTCAGATTTGTTAGAACTTGAAGCCGCGAGGCCTGGTGCCGCAAACCCCCCGGGTAGGCCCTCTAGCTGTTAACCTCTCCTAGCCTAGAAGCGATGCTGAATGCTCTCGACGTTTGAAGCGCTCTCCGATGGCGCTGTCCAGCGCAGCCCCGGGGGAGGGTTTCCGTCGGGAGCTGCCCTCAGATGAGCGTGTCGATCGCGTTCGATGGGGCATTGCCCGGGATAGACCACGAGATCTGAGGGCGAGAACGCTTCGGAGAGCGCGGCGTCTGGGGCCCTGGATGGGCTGCCTCGGGGCGTCACGAGGACCCGATCGTCGCCGGAAACGCGGGTCCTCGCCTCAGATGACGATTCCATCCGGGTCATGGGTCGATGGGATGGCCTCGGGGCCCTCGACCTTGGGCTGGGGGACCTCAGGTCGGTCCCCGAGGGCTGCGTGGCCGTGGCGCCGTCTGAGCTCGACCTGGTGGACTCGATGATTTTGGGCTCCCCCGAGGAACCCGCCGGGTTGGACGCGACGGGGTCGATAAAGAACGATCTCCGCTGCTGCGATGGCTCGAAAACTATCTTAGAGGGGTCGCGAGGGGGCAGCGCGTCGCTTCCCACCCACTCTACCTCCCCGTTCCAGTTCCCACGCTGTCGTATGAGCGCCGCGTCTTCGCATGTGCCTCACCCTCATCCTTGCGGCCCTCGCAGCTGCTGGGATCGTTGCACAATTCTGCATATTCGCGGAGCGGCGGGCCCTCAAAGACGGCCATCCCATCGCAGCGCGCCGTCAAACGCTTCACGCAAAGCAAAGGCTATCGTTGAGGTAGATCTATAAAACGCGAAGTAATACTCCAAGCTCGAGGGCTTGAGGCAATTTTGAAGTAAACATCCCTTCAACACCACCCTCGACCGACTCTTAGCATGGGCCCGGGCAGCTCCTTGTGAGGCCGCGTGCTCCCGGGCAGCTCCTTGTGGGGCCATATAGCTGTCGCTTCAAAAACCCAGCCATCATGGTCCGCTGCATCGTCGTCCCCGGGCGCGGCACGTTGGATTGCAAATTCGAGCACTGGTACGGCCACATGAGACGGCTGGCTCGAGAGCCGACTGAACGACGCCGGCCTCTTCGACGAGGTCATCCTGCCAGAGATGATGCCCGACCCGGTCGTCGCGAGCGAACATGAGTGGGTGCCCTTCCTGCGCGGGCTCGGCGTCGACGAGGAGACCGTCGTCGTGGGCCACAGCAGCGGGGCCGCGGCTCTGCGAGCGCGAGCGCGTCAAGGCGCTCGTCCTGGTCTGCGCGTACCACACGGACCTCGGCGACGCGTCGGAGGCGGCCGCGGGCTACTTCGGCCGCCCCTGGGCCTGGGACCGCATCCGCGAGAACGCCGGGCGCGTCGTCCTGTTCCACGACGCGGACGACCCCCACGTCCCGAAAGCCGAGGCGCGGCTCGTCGCGGGCGAGCTCAGGGCCGACTACCACGAGCTCGGCGCGCGGGCGGCGTCGCGCCACGCTTCTGTTTCGTACAAACCTCTTAGGCCGCAAGCGCCACTTCCTCGTGCCCGAGGTCCCCGAGGTGCTCGCCGCGATCGAGGCGCTCGTCGCGGGCACGGACGAGGAGCTGTCGTCGGCGTCGGGCTCGGGCCTCCTCATCACGGGGCTCCTCGTGCTCCTCGCGGCCGTCGCCTACGCCGTCGTCTACCGGACGACGCACTAAGCGTCGTTTTTCCTAGCGGGCCGTTGCCCGCCCCTTAGAAGATCCCGACGCAGACGCGCTGGTACCGGTCGTAGGCGTGGGTGCGCCAGTTGTTCGTCGACTTGTCGATGAGGCCGTGGACGAAGGCGCGGACCTGGCGGTCGCTGAGCTTGGGCTTGAAGCGCCGCCGGAGCGCGTCGATCGTCTCGCGCGGCCGGCCGTCGAAGCACGGCAGGTGGTCGCAGCCCGACACGGTCATCTCCGCGAGCAGGAGCAGCTTGTGGCGCTCGGCCCGCAGCGCCAGAAAGACCCGGACGCAGAGGTCCCGGAAGCGGCGGTAGTCCGGCCCGACGACGTCGAGGAACTCCGCCGTGAGCTTGAAGGGCGCGGCCTCGAACCCCAGGTTGCCGCCCGGCGACGACGCGAGAAGGTAGCCGAAGTCGACGTGCGCGAGGCGGCCCGCGGCGTCTAATAGGATGTTGCCGTTGTGCCGGTCCTTGATCTGCAGCAGGTAGCTCAGCACGCACGCCGGCGCGAGCGACTCGACAAAGTTCGCGCGCGCGCGCGCGAGCTCCGGCCCCGCGCCGAAGCGCCGATAGAAGAAATCCAACAAATTCGCGGAGCCGCCGTCGCTCCGCCGCAGCGCGTCGAGCGACATCGCGTCCGGCAGGGCCTCGATGAGGCCCGCGTCCGGGCCCGTCGCGACGACGTCGTAGGTCCTCAAAACGACGGGCACGCGCGCGTCCTCTAGGATCCGCGCGGCCATGCGCAGGAGCTGCGCGGCGAACTGCTCCTGCCGCAGGTCGTCGCGCGCCTTGACGATGACGGGCACGAGGCGCCGCCGCCCGCGGCCCGCGCCGAGCACGCGCGCCTCGACGTCGGCCCAGCGCTCCCGGAACGCGACCTCGGGCGCCGGCGGCGCGGCCGCCGGCGGCGGCAGCCGCGGCGCGAGCACGGACCGGTCCGTCGCGCCGTAGGTCGCGTCCTCGGGCGGCTCGCCGCGCGCGAGCGACAGCGCCGTCGCGGCGCCGAGCGGCGGCGGCGTCGGCGGCGGCGAGAGCTCGCGCCGCGGCGGCGCGCCGACGCGCGGCGACCCGCGGCCGAAGAAGTCGGGCAGGATCGGGTTCGCCGCCGCCTCCGGCAGGAGCGGCGACGCGTCGGCCCGCGGGGGCGGCGGGAGGTCCTCGACGCCGCCGTCCAACAGCTCGACCTCGACGGCGCAGAGGAACGGGCACCGCTCCTTCGTCGAGAAGCACCGCGACTCGGCCGCGTGGACGCGGAGCACGCGGTGGCGGCCCGCGGCGCGGCCCAGCGGCACGTACGCGCCCCGCAGCGACGGCACCGCGGTCGCGTCGAGCTCTTCGAGCGCCGCCGCCAAGGCCGCGGCCCGCGCCTCGCGCGGCAGGTCGCAGAGCCCGTCGGAGATGGCCGTCAGCGCGTCGACGAACGCCGGCGCGTCGTCGTAGGCCTTGGCCTCGTCGTAGGGCACGCCGTCGAATTTCGCGACGCGGTCCGCGGCCGCTCTCAGGGCCGCGCGGCGCGCGTCGACTCTCAGCGCCGCGACGGCCCGCGACCCCTCGGCCGTCAGCCGCAGGCCCGGGCTCTTCGCCGACGAGTCCGCGAAGGACCTGAGGTAGAACTCGATGCCGTGGGCGAAGACGACGTCGTCGGCGCAGAGGCCCAGGAGCAGCTCGCGGAGCGCCTGGGCGGGACGAGCGCGCGACATTCCCAACTTTGGAGGCTCCTCTCTCGGTCATGTTCCACTCGTTTGGGCTCATTTTTGGACGGGCGATCATCGCTCGGAGCACCCTCGACGCGTGGATGCGTTCTCTGGAACCATCGCGCCGAACACTCATGTTGAAGCGAACTTGAATCGCCCGTGTCCCGCCCCGGCGGAGCGCCGGCCCGTCCCAGAACGCGCCAAACAAAACAAAGGTCGCGAGCTGCAGCACGTAGAACCCCGTTGCCTCGCGGTCCGCGCGGAACGCGCCCCGCAGCGCGGCGAGGACGTCCTCGTGGGCGAAGAGGCGCAGGAGCAGCGCGAAGGGCTCGTCGCGCGCGTCGGCGTCCGCGACGCGGTCCCGCGACGACAGCCCCCGCGGCAGGCTGTCCAGCACGAGCGCCCGCGCGCGCACGAGCTCCGCGTCGAGCTCCTCGACGACGCCCGCCCAGAAGGCGCGGATGGACGCGCCGCGCCGCTCGAAGCGCGCGAGGAGGCCCGGCGCGTCGTCGCCTAGAACGTCGTAGAACGCGTCGCGCTCGCGCGGCGCGCGGCTCCGCAGGTAGTCCCAGGACCGGCGCCAGAGCTCGAGGCTCGCGAGGCCGCCGCAGAGGAGCAGGGTGGTCGCGTAGGTGCGCCGGGGGTCGAGGTCGCCCGCGAGTCTTCGGTAGGCGACGCGCGCGAGCGCCGCCGAAACGAGGACCGCGAGGACCGCGTGGCACCGGAGGAGCGCTCTGCGGCCGAGCGCCGCGCCGCCGGGCGTCGCGCCGACAAAAACGGCGTAGAAGGCGACGCGCAGGAACGCGAGGCCGACGACGGCGTCGAAGAGGCTGCGGCGCGGGTCGAGGCGCGCGCGCCAGCGTTTCGAACCGAGCGGCGCGTCGCCGTAGAAGCGCGGGTGCGCGCAGTAGAGCGCGACGCAGCACGCGTCGACGCCGAGGGCGCCGGCGGCGGCGAGGCGTCCCCACTTGGACATCGCACAGCTATGTGGCCATCACAATCGATAAGTGCAAGGTGGGTGCATCATCGAGTTCAACATGGCACAGAACGCGCATCTCCCCGACCGGATTACAGCGTCGCGAACTGGGCCCCGACCTTGGGCGAGATCTCCTTGTTGAGGATGATGAGCGCGGAGTTGAGCGCGCCCTTGCCCCGGGCCCAGGACGCGAGCGCGTCCTTCTTGTCCTTGGCCTTGGCGACGTCGCCGAGGTCTAGGAAGACCTCGTTGATGTACCAGCGCGTGAGGAAGACGACGTTCGCCGGCGACGTGTTCTCCGAGGCCATGAGGCCGTTGGCCAGGAGGCCGAGCGTGCGCAGCGCGAACGCCGGCGACGTGGCGTCGACCTTCGCCCAGTCGCCGGCCTTGATCTGGCCCTCGACGGCGGCGAAGGCGTCGATGCCCGCCTGGCAACGCGTGGCGTACTTGCTGTACTGCTCGTAGCGCTGCTGCACGCGCGTGAAAGGCATCGCGCCGTTGTCGGGTAGCGGGCTCGACGCGTCCTGCAGGAACGGCGCGCTGCGGCCGTACTTGAAATAAAAGTCCTGGCCGAAGAGCACGTTGCCGTTCATCGCGTCGCGGGATTTGCTCGCCGCCGGGTTCGACGCGATGTTGACGCTGTCGACGATGGCGAAGCCCGGCGCCATGTCGGCGAGCGCGGGTCGCGGCGCGAGCAGCGCGGCGGCGGGCGCCAGCTCGAGCAGCTGGCGCCGCGTAGGCTGCAGCGACAGCGCGCGCGGCAGCGCGAGCGCCAGGGCGACCAGCTTGCAGAGCTTGCACTTTGTCAGAGTAATCATCGTCGTGGCGCGATCGATGATGAAGCCTTCATGCTGTACTACAGTAGTTTGTGTGGAGCTGCATTCTATTTTGGCGGCATCAGTATGGTCAACGCTCGCGGCTGCTGCAGCATGCGCGTTCTGCTTCCGCTCCTCGCCGCCGTGGGGGCGGCCCGCCGCCGGCTCGACGCCGCGTGCGTCGACGATGCGAGTTGGCACATCAAAAACTCGCCCGCGAAAGACTCGGACTGCGGCCTGTTGAGCGGGAAGCCCCAGCTCTGCGCGAAGAAGAGCGCGGACAAGCAGCTCGGCTACGAGGCCTGCCCCTTCGCGTGCGGCCTCTGCGACTCCGGGGAGGAGGACTCGACGAGCTGGCACAGGACGCCAAGGACACTTCCCCCCAACGGCCTCTCCAGCCCCGTCAACGGCCTCCCAACGGATAGTCCCCAGTGCGAGACCTGTGACAATGGGCCATGGCAGGAAGACGATTACAGCGACGGGGCCTACGGCAACGGGGACGACGGGGCCTACGGCAACGGGGACGACGGGGCCTACGGCAACTCGGGGGACGCGAACTACAGTTTCGATTACGGTGATGGCGGCGGTGGCGATTACAGTAATAGCAGCGATGTCGGTCCATACGGGAACGACTAGTGCCTCTGTTACGGCGGTGGTGAGATCGGCCTTGTGTGACCTCGACGCAGGAGGTACCGCCCTGCGCCAGCCTCGGCCTGGTTTCTTCCGCGGGCCCTCCCCTCCCCTGGCACGTCCCCCCCCACATGAGCCCCCGCTTCTCCGGGCAACGCCCCGGCGCTTCCCCCCTGTATGCTAAGCTGCTTCAGAGCTTGAGATGTCCTACGGGCGCCCGTTGATGGGCGCGCGTCCCCTTCAATAACTTCTGGCCGGCGTTCTCGGCGTTGTAGTGGCCCTCCCGGCCGGGGTTACCCTCGGCCAGCAGCTCATGCTGCTTCCCTTAGAGGACGCCTACCACGCGGAGACGGCCTCGTCCTGGACGAACTCGCCGTTGAGGCCGCAGTCGGGCAGCGCGAGCAGGACCGCGTTCCGCGCGCCGACCTCGGGCGGCCGGCCGCCGCGGTTCGAGGACATGTCCGTCCGGCAGTAGCCGGGGCAGCACGCGTTCACGCGCAGCGCCGAGCCGGCGTACTTGCGCGCGAGGATCTTCGAGTGGGCGATGACGCACGGTTTCGACAGGCCGTAGTTGCTCGAGCCCCAGCCCGCGGCCTTGTGGCGGCCCGCGGCGACGTCCGCCGCGAAGTCGTCGGCCAGGCCCAGCAGCCGTTCGGTCGTCAGCGCCGGGTCCGAGAAGTCCCGCCGCCGCTTCCGCGACACCTCGCGGAGCTTGCCCGTCATGCTCGCGACGTGCACGAGCCGCCCCGCGTCCGACCGCTCCAGGAGCGGCAGGAGCGCGTCGGTGAGCGCGACCGTGCCCCGGACGTTGATCTTCAGCGTCGGCTCCGTCTGGGCCGCGAAGGGCGTCGGGTCCGCGGCCTTGAACGCGATCGCCGCGTCGTTGACGAGCGCGTCGACGCGGCCGACGTCTTGTTCCACGGCCGCGGCGAACGTCGCGATGGAGGCCTCGTCGCCGATGTCGAGCTGCATGAACCGCGCCTTCGGATCGCTCAGTCTCCGGACGGCGGCCTCGCCGCGGCTCGCATCTCGGCAGGCGAGGATGACCACGGTGCAGGAGGCGAGGAGCTGCTGCGCCACGTGGAAGCCGATGCCCTTGTTGGCGCCGGTGACGACGGCGACGCGCGTCATCGAACGTTTCTTTTTAATCAGCCTTCAGAGCACCTACGCGACTTTCACCACGCCGGCGCGGAAGCCATCGCTGCAGCTCTGCATCATCGGCTCAAGTTGAACAGGGAGAGCATGGAGCCCTGAATTGTGGGCAACCTGGTTTCCTCCGCGGGCGTCAGTCGAGCGCGCGTCCCCTTCAATAACTTGGTCAACCTGTCGCGCAAGAATATGGACGGCATGGGCGCGACGGAATCGCGCCTCTTCCTGGCGCTCATGGCGCTCATCTTCGCCTGCCTGTGCGTGACCATCGCGCTCGATCCCGACGCGGGGCTGGGCGGCCACGGCCTGAGCTTCGTCGACGCCGAGCCGGCGGCGCGGGCGGAGATCCGCGCCTTCTACGGCGGTTGCTTCGGCTGCCTCGCCTTGGTCTGCGCGCGCGCCGTGTCCGGCGGCGGCACCGCGCGGCGGCGCGACGCGCTCGACGCCGTGTGCTGCCTGCTGGCGCTCTTCGCGTCCATCCGCGTCTACTCGTACGCCGCCGACGGCCCGCCGGCGCGAACGAGCGTCTACCGGCTCTGGGCCGCCGAAGTCCTGGGCGCCGCCGTCGCCGGCTACCTCGCCGTCGGCGAGCGCCTCTGCTGCGCCATCGACGACGTCGTCGGCCTCGGCGCGGCGCTCGCCGAAGGCGGACTAAAAGCCTCTGCGGACTAAGACCTCCTTTAGGCGCTCGGGCGGAGCTGCGCCTGGAGCATCTTCGCGCCGAGCTGCCACGCGGCGGAGGCCGCGCCGCGGTAGACGCCCGGCCGCTCGCGGTGCAGGTTCGCGTAGAGCTTCAGCGCGCGCGTCGCCTCGTGGACGACGAGGTCCTGGACGTCGTCCTCGAGGTCGCCGGCGACGCTCCCGAGCGTCTCGAGGGCCGTGGCCAGCGCCGGGGGCTTCGGCGGCGCCGTCGACGTGAAGTTGAGCAGCGCCTCCTTGCCGTGGTAGTCGAGGCGCGGCGCCAGCTCCAGGCCCGCGTAGACGTGCGCGGCGAAGCAGTGGCCCAGGAGCAGCGCGCCGTCGAAGTCCCCCGCGGCGACGGCGACGCGCCGCGAATACTGCTTCGTCGCCGGCGACCAGAGCCGCTCGTCGGCGTCGTCCTCGGCGCGGAGCGCCTCGGAGAAGACCGCCGGCGGCCGCTCCGCCGCCCGCGCCGCGGCGAGCGCCGGGGCCCGGCGGAGGCCGTCGCGGTGCGCGCTCCAGAAGTCGCCCGCGGCGCCCGCCGCGCCGTCGAGGGCCGCCTCCAGCGCGCCGTAGACCGGGATCCACGACGCGAGGCTCGCGAGGCGCTCCGGCTTCGACGACAGCGACCGGTGGATGGCCGCCGCGAGCGGCCGCTCGTCGACCGTGTCCTCGACGGTCCAGACGAGGCGCGTCACGAGCGAATCGGGATGCAGGGTCTTGACGCTGCTGCTCGAGAGCCGGCGCGTCGATGCGGCGGCGGCGCGCAGGGGTCGCGCAGCCGCGCGCATCGGTGCGGCGGAGAGCAGCATTGCCTCGCTCTCACTCGGCAATGTCGGCGTCAACTCGGCTGCAAGGTAGCAGCCCGCGTGTAACTCGAACAAAATGGGGGGCCGCTTCTGGGCGCTCCTCGGTGCCGCAGCGGCGGCCCTAGAGGAGCCCTACCCCTACCTCCACGGCGGCAATTGGACGGGCGACGCGTCGTCCTTCGTGGACCCCATGCGCGCCTACGCGTGGACGACGCGCAACCGCTCGTTCCAGGTCTTCTTCGACGCCCCCGTCGCCATCACCTGCGACCCGGAGGCGCTCTGCGCCGCGGGCTTCGACTCGCTCGCGCGCGCCGGCGGCGCCGTCGCGCCGAGCGCCGGCGCCTTCGCGCGCGGCCGCGGGACCGTGCCCGCCGCGGGCGGTTTTATGAGATTCGAGTTCGCGCAGAACGCCGCCGCGTGGATCGAGGTCGACGTCGAGGGCCTGGACGCGAACGCGACCCTGGGCGTCTCGGAGCACGCCCTCGTCGCGCCGGCGTCGAGCGGCGTCGCCGCGCGCCGCGGGCGCACGCTGCGCCTCGAGCTGACGGCCGAATTGTACGACGGCCTGCGGTACGCGTGGCTCCGGGCGCCGCCCCAGCGACGGAACTGGACGATCACGGCCGTGCGCCGCGTGACGCAGGTCGTGCCCAGCGTCCTGTGGCGGTGACAGTTTACGGAAAACAATGCTTGGCAGGTCGTCCCGCTCAACTACGCCGGCGACTTTACAAGCTCCGACGCGTTCCTCGAGCGGCTCTGGGCCATCGGCGCGTACACGACGCGCGCGTGCCTCTGCCGCTCCGGCGCCAAGGTCTTCCTCGGGTCCATCCTCGTGAACCGGGGCGACCGCATCGCGTTCCTCGGCGACGCCTACGTCGCCCAGGCCACGCTGCTCGCGGCTTTCGGCTCTCGAGAAATCGCGCGCGACTCGCTCGAGTACACGGCGTCCGTCGGCAACTCGATCAAGCCCTACGACGTCATGTGGGTGCTCACGCTCTTGGATTACGTCGACTGGTCCGGCGACGTCTCCGCCCTCGGGGGCGCGCTCGGCGCCAAGGTCGGCGACGTGCTCGCGGCCGCGCGCGACGTGCTCGTGCCGGCGGCGCGCGGCGACGCCGCGGCGCTGCGCTGGAGCCGCGACGACCCGCGCATGGGCTTCGGCTTCGAGTTCGCCGACATCCCGCCGGCGCAGTGCGCCTACCGGGCCCTCGCCGCCGAGGCCTGGCGCCGCGCGGGCGCGTCGGCGCACGCGAACGCGTCCGCGTGGCGCGCCGCGTTCGCGGACGCGCGGCTCTACGAGGGGCCCGCGGGCTGGTTCGCGGCGCCGCGCTGCGGCATGCACGCCGCGGCGGACTGGCTCAGCGCCTGGAACGGCACGAACGGCGGCGACGGCGGCGCGGTCTTCGCCGCGTGGTTCGGCGACGACCTCCAGCTCGCGAGCCTGAGCCCCTTCGAATCCTACTTCGTCATCCGGGGCCTCGTGGCGCTGGGCACGGCGGAGGCCGACGCCGCGGCGACCTACCTCGTCGACCGCCAGTGGCGGGGCATGGTCGACGCGGGCGCGACGACGACGTGGGAGCGCTTCGACCCGCAGACGTCCGACGCGGGCGCGTTCCCGGGGCGCGACCTGCCCCCGGTCAACGCCATGAACGACCGCACGTCCATGGCCCACCCCTGGAGCAGCGGCGCGACGGCGCTGCTCTCGCGCTACGGTTTAGGGGTCGAGCCGACGGCGCCGGGCTTCCGGACCTTCGACGTCTTCCCGCGGCTGGTGCTCCCGGACGCGGCGGGGACCGTGCCGACGCCGCTCGGGAATATTGTGGTCAGTCTGCGGCGCGCGCGCGGGACGTTGGAGCTCAACGTCACCGTGCCGCGCGGCGCGACGGGCACGGTGAAGTTCCGCGTTGGCGACGGCGACCACGCCGTCGCCGTGGACGGCCTCAACGTCCCGGCCCGCGGCGCCGTCGCCGCGTCGCCGCCCCTGGTGGGGGGGCGCACCTACGCGGTCCGCGTCGCGACGGCCGCGCGGCCCGCGGCGCCGCCGCGCGCGCCGTTCCGCTTCCCCGTCGCGCTCCTGGGCGTCGACCGCGCGACGGGCGGCGCGTGGCGGGGGCGCCACGGCGCCGACGGCCACCTGCTCTTCAACGCCTCGGCGGACGGGCGGGACGTCGCGGCGCTGCCGAGCTACGTGAACGCGGTCGTCGCGTCTTCCCGGGAGGACAGCCGCGGCGGCGCCGCGGCGGAGCGCGTCGCCTGCGCGACGAACCCGGGCGGCTTCGGCGTGCCGGGCCCCGTGCGCGGCGCCTGCGCCTGGACGGCGTTCCCCGACGCGACGGCGGCGGCGGTGCTCGACGGCGCCGCGGCGGCCGCCGCGCTCGGGCCCGTCGGCTGGCAGGGGTCCTTCCACGTCGACGTCGACGTCGCAGCGGGCGCCAACTTCACCGTCGCCCTCTACTTCGCGGACTACGGCGCCTGGAACGCGTCCATCTTCCTCCAGACGCGCGCGCTCGACGGCCTCGCCGTCGTCGCCGAGGCGACGGTGCTCCGCGACTTCCGCGGCGGCGCCTACGTCTCCTTCGCCGCGGACCGGTCCCTCCGCTTCCGCGTCATGCAGCTCCACGACCGCGACGGCGACCGCGACGGGTGGCCCCCCCCGCCCACACTCACGGCGCTCTTCTTCGGGTGATTTTTTAAAATCTGCGCGCCTTGCACGCCACCTTGAACATTCTGAACTCGCCGAGGATCGAGCATGGTGGGCAAATCACTGCTGGCGCTGCTGCTGCTGCCGCTGTGCGCTGCGAAGCAGGATCGGCAGCCCGACGACGACGACCGCACGATCTGGGTGAGCAACGGCACGGGCGTCCCCGGCGAGCTCTTCGTCGGGCTGCTCAACACCGGTCGCAAGGGGCAGGCCCACCGCATCGAGGTGCGCTTCGACGCGCTCGGCCTCGACGGCGCGGCCTACGACGTCTTCGACGCGAGCGCGGGCATGCGCCCGCTCGCCCACCCGCGCGATACCTTCGGCGCCAACGTCGTGCCGGAGCAGGTCGTCCTCCTGAAGCTGCGGCCCAAGGCGCGCGGCGGCCGCCGCGCGGCCGCCGCGGGAGGACGGCGCGCCAAGCCGCGGGCCGCCGCACCCAAGGCCGCCGCGACGGACGCCGGCGCCGCCATCGCCGCGCTGCAGACCTGGTACGACGAAAAGACGGGGCTCTGGGACCTCGCGCCGGAAGGCGCCCAATGGTGGAACTCCGCGAACTGCCTCGAGCTCGTCTGCAACTACGTGATCCACGAGAACGGCGCCGCCGACGACCTCCTCGCGGTCATCAACGCGACCTTTTCGCTGACGACGCTGGAGGAGACGTTGACGGGCCGCTACGACGACGAGGGCTGGTGGTGCCTCGCGCTCGTCCGCGCGTACGAGGCCGCGGGCGACGCGGCCTACCTGGACCGGGCGGCGAAGATCTTCGCGGACCTGGCGGTCCACGCCTGGGACGACGCCTGCGGCGGCGGCGTCTGGTGGAGCTACGCGAAGAGCTACAAGAACGCGATCACGAACGAGCTCTTCTTCGCCATGGCCATGAAGCTCCACGGCGCGGCGGGGCCGGACGTCGTCGTCGCCGGGCGGACGTACCTCGACTGGGGGCGGGCGACCTGGGCCTGGTTCGAGCGATCGGGCCTCGTCAACGGCGCGGACCTCGTCAACGACGGCCTCGTGTCGTCGGGCGCGGACCCGTCCTGCGCGAACAACGGCCAGCAGGTCTGGTCCTACAACCAGGGCGTCGTCCTGGGCGGGCTCGCCGATTTATACAAAGAGACGCGGAACTCGACGCTGCTGGACGCGGGCCTCGCGATCGCGACCGCCGCGACGGACGCGCTCGCGTGGAACGGCACGTCGATACTCGCGGAGTCGTGCGACGGCCCGGACCTCAACGGCTGCGACCTCGACCAGGAGCAGTTCAAGGGCATCTTCGCCCGCTACGTCATGTACTTTGCCCTGACCCTCGAGGGGTCGACGATGGGCGCGTACGCCGCCGGCGCGCGCGACCTGCGGGCGTGGGCGGCGACGAACGCCGCGGCCATCTGGGGCGACGACCGCGACGCGTCGGACCTCTCCGAGCTCTGGGCCGGCCCCTTCGCCGCGTCCCGCGGTGGACCGGGCGCCATCATGCAGGCGTCCGCCGCGGACGCGCTCCTCGCGACCGCGGTCCTCGGCGCGCCCTAGGCGACGCACACAAAAGGGGGGGGTTACACGAAGGGGTCTCAGGGCCGGCCGCCGCGGAGCGCCGTCGTGACCGTCGTCGTGGCGATGGTCGTGGAGCGCACGGTCATGGTGTCGAAGAGCCCCCACGTCGCCGGGCCCGCGGGCGCGTCCGCGAAGTTGGGCTGGCCCGCCGCGTCGTCCGGGTCGAAGTTCGTGACGCCGAAGACGATCGGGTGCGTGCAGTTGGCCGCGGCGGACGCGTCGAGGACGCGGCCGACGAGGTCCGCGGCCGCGGCCGCGCTCGGCTCCGCGGGCCGCGCGTAGAACTTCTCGTAGTAGAAGAGGTTCGGGCTCACCCAGCGCGGCGACCCCGGCGACGAGCAGCGCTCCTCGTCCGTGACGTAGCAGATGGCCCCCGTGAAGGGCAGGTACAAGGCGCCCGCCGGGTGCGTGTGGTACCACACGAAGGACGAGGCCGGGTCCCGGTCGTAGGCGCAGTTGACGACGGTGATCGCCGGCGGGTCGACGAAGCTCTTGCCCTTGGAGAAGACGAGGTCCACGGACGGCGACGACCCGTTGGCGATGTGCGTGTCCGCGCCGAGCTTGCCGCCGCCGCGGCCCGCGATCGCGTCGGCGACGCGGTAGGACCGGCGCCGCGGGGCGCGGTAGCTGCTGGACACGAAGGACCGGCGGCTCCGCCAGGGCGCGAGCTCGAAGGCGCCGCCGACGACGTAGACGAAGGTGTTTGGTTCTACAAAGAGGTCGACGTACGCGCCCGCGCCGAGCCAGTAGGCGTCGCCCATGCTGTCCAGGGACTCGCCGTCGAACATGGCGCGGCCGTGGCGCACGAAGAACTGGAGCGGCCCGCGCGTCGCGACGCCCGCGTCCGCGTACGATTCGCCCGCGCCGCAGTCGACCGTCGTCACCCACGGCGGGCCGCCGACGCCCGCGGCGTCCGCGCCCTCCCAGTTCCGCAGGGCGCAGCCGCCGACGGCCGTGCGCGCCGAGCTGAGCGTCGTCTCGTTGTAGAAGTACTGGTCCGGCATCGCCGCCGCGGCCTCCGGCGCGCCCGCGGTGAAGGTCGCGGGGCTGCCCCAGCGCGCCAGGGCGGCGACGACGAGCCCGCAGCGTCCTAGGGCGCGACTTGGTCCCATGTCCCGACGGCCACGAAGGGTGCACTTCGGAGTGGAGGGTTCTGCCGAAGCCCCCGCGAACCTTGGTTGTTCAAAGGCAGCTCTTGTTAGCATCTTGTTAGCGAGCCCAGCAATCATGCATGTTGAACTGCCATATCTTCGGCTAAAAGCAGTGGGCATTGGCCGCGGCCGTCTAGTGTTGCGCGGGCGCCGCCGCCGCCACCGCGCCATGGGGAACACGTGCTGCAACGGCGCGGGCGGCCAGGTCGGGAACAATTCGCGCGTCGTGACGCACAGCAAGTCGGCCCGCGCGAACATCATGCGCCAGCGCGAGGAGGACATCGGCCAATACTACGACATCGAGGCGACCATCGGCCGGGGGTCCATCGGCACGGTGGCCCGCGCCCAGCACAAGGAGTCGAAGAAGTGGTACGCCGTCAAGACGCTCCAAACCCAGCGCCTCACGAAGGACATGATCGACGAGATGCTCAACGAGATCGACATCATGATGGGCCTCGACCACCCGAACATCGTGCGGCCGCTGGAGCTCTACTCCAAGAAGCGCGAGCTCTACTTCGTCATCCCCTTCTGCAGCGGCGGCGACCTGTACAAGCGCGCGCCCTACGGCGAGCGCAACGCGGGCCGCTACGTCGCGCAGATGTGCGACGCGGTCGCGTACATGCACCGCTTCAACGTCGTCCACCGCGACCTCAAGTTCGAGAACGTGCTCTTCATGTCCAAGGCGCCCGAGTCCGAGGTCATGATCATCGACTTCGGTCTCGCGAAGGCGAACTACGCGCGGAAGAAGAAGCTGGACGAGTTCGTCGGGACGATTTACAGTATGGCGCCCGAGGTCATCCGGGGCGCCTACGACGCCAAGTGCGACGTCTGGTCCCTGGGCATCATCACCTACATGTTGTTGGCGGGCGCCATGCCCTTCACGCGCTTCGACGACGAGGACGCGCTGCTGCGGGATTTGGAGCGCGAGCGCTACGACATGACGCGGCGGACGATGGCGAAGCGGTCCGAGGACGCCAAGGCCTTCGTCAAGTACCTGCTCAAGGCCAAGGTGGACCAGCGGCCGGACATGCAGCAGGTGCTCAAGCACAAGTGGCTCAAGGGCCGCACGCGCGACTACGAGGCCGCGGCGAACCCCAAGTCGCTAGGGACGATGGAGTCGCTCACGGACGAGGACATGGTCGACAACCTCAAGAAGTACGCGTCCGCGAACCGCCTGCGGCGCATCGCCCTCATGGTCATCGCCCACCGCAGCGACAGCGACTCGCTCCGCGAGCTCCGCGCCGCGTTCCGCGCCATCGACACGGCGAACGAGGGCTTCATCAACTTCGGCGAGCTCGAGGCCGTGCTGACCAAGGCGGGCTACGACCAGGCGCTCATCGCCGAGGTCTTCGAGGCCGTGGACCACGACAACACGGGCCGCATCTCCTACACGGAGTTCCTCGCGGCCATGCTCGAGGGCAACTGCCTCGTGCAGGAGGACGAGCTCGCGGACGCGTTCGACCGCCTCGACAGCGACGACTCGGGCGCGATCACCAAGGACAACCTGCGCCAGCTGCTGGGGAACCAGTTCTCCGCGTCCCTCGTCGAGGAGATGATCGCCGACGCGGACTTCAAGCAGAACGGCACCGTCGACTACGAGGAGTTCAAGAAGATGATGCTCGGGAGCTCCGGCAAGCGCATGCGCGAGACGAAGATCCGCGCGGGCAGCATGCCCGGCGAGCCCGCGAAGTGAGGGTCGGGCGCGTAAGCCATCAGGCGTAGCTTCGACGAGCGGAAGGGCAGATCGGGGACGCGGGCCGCGGGGGTCGGTCGGTCGACGACTTGGTCGACAAGTTGGTCGACGCGCGGGGCGTGTCAAAGTTGCAGGAATCATGATGATTCAAACTGCGATGGGATAAGCATGGGGGGCCGGCTGCGGCTCTCGCGTGATATGCCCTAAGGCCGCAATTGATCGATGATGGGCACGCCGCGCGCCTTCGCCTTCTTCTGCGGCGATGCGCGGGTCATGGACGCCGAGGACCCGGTCGTCGATTACTACGATGCCGCCGACGACCCGCGCCTCCGGTCGCGCACGGTCGAGGAGACGAAGGAGGGCCCCGTCGACAGCCTCGTCGACATCGTCCTGGAGCGCAAGTCGTCGGCGACGCCGGTCGTGGCGTCCGCCGAGCGCTGCAAGATCCTCGCGCCGCCGCCGCCGGAGCCCGAGCGCCGCCGCTGGCCGCGGCGCCTCGGCCCGCTCGTCGTCCTCGTCGCCGTCGGGGCGGTCGCGCGCGGGGTCGCGAGCGCCGCGGCGCCGCGGTCGCGCTCGTCGTCGTCCGCCGACGAGCCGCGCGCGGTCGCGTCCGCGGCGCCGACCGCGGCGCCGGCCCCCGCGCCGACGCCCGGTCCGACGTCGCCGCGGCCGTCCCACGGGCCCTCGCGCGCGCCGTCGCACGCGCCCTCGCGCGCGCCGTCGTACGCGCCCTCCGGAGCGCCGACGCGCGCGCCGTCCTCGGGGGCGCCGTCGGCCCGGCCCTCGTCCGCGGCGCCGTCGCGGCCGCCGTCGCCCGCGCCCTCGCCGCGCCCGTCGTCCCGCGCGCCGTCGGCGCTGCCGTCGCCCGCGCCGTCGTCGCTGACGCCGCCGCCGTCGGCGCGGCCGTCGGCGCCGCCGTCCCGCCCGCCGGCGCCGTCGGCCGCGCCGTCGTCGACGCCGCCGTCCGCCGCGCCGTCCGCCGCGCCGTCCGCGGCGCCGTCCGCCGCGCCGTCCGCGGCGCCGTCCGCCGCGCCGTCCGCCGCGCCGAGCTCCGCGCCGTCCGCCGCGCCGACGGCGGCGCCGTCGACGTACGCGCCGAGCCCGGCGCCGACCTCGGGCGCCTACCGGCCGACGGGCGCCTACGACGGGCGCACGCACTGGCGGCGCTACGCCGTCGACGACTCGCTGCGCGGCGCCGACGGCACGCGGCTCGCGGACGTCGACGGCGACGGGACCGTCGACGTCGCGGTGCCCTGGGAGGAGTCGGGCGTCGTCGCGGCGTACCTGAACCCGGGGGGCGACGCCGCGCGCGAGCCCTGGGACCGCGCCGTCGTCGCGAACCTGTCCGTGGGCCTCGAGGACGCGGTCTTCGTCGACGGCGACGGCGACGGCGTCGCGGACGTCGCCTCCTGCTCGGAGTCGGGCGGCGCGCTCGACGGCGACCGCAAGACGGGCGTCGTGTTCCTGCACTTCTCCGACGACTGGGCCGGCGCCGCCTTTGAGACCGTCGAGCTCGACGCGGCGTCCGGCTTCGCCAAGTGGCTGGCCGTCGAACCGGCGGACGTCGACGGCGACGGCGCGGTCGACCTCTTCGCGGGCGCCAAGGAGTCGGACGTCGCCGTCGCGGTGCTCCTGGCGCCGGCGGACCCGCGCGACGGCGCCGCGTGGACCTACGTGCCCGTCGCGACCGTCGAAGACGCGTGGATCATGACCCTGATCGCGCGGGACGTCGACGGCGACGCGGACGTCGACGTCCTGGCGTCGTTCCGGGGCTCGCGCGCGGGCGCGGGCGTCTACTGGCTCGAGAACCCGGGGCCGGACCGGCTCTTCGACGGCGACGACTGGGACCGGCACGAGATCTTCGTCAACGAGACCAAGCAGCCCTTCATGATCTGCGCGGCGGACCTCTACGGGACGGGCGCGCTCGACGTCGTCCTCGCGGAGCGCCGCGGCGTCGTCGCGCTGGAGCAGGCGGGCGACCCGCGGGACCCGTGGCGGGCGACGACGATGCCGTGCGACGAGACCGCCGTCGGCGAGAAGCTCAAGAGCGTCGCCGCGGGCGACCTCGACGGCGACGGCGCGCCCGAGCTCGTGCTCTCGACGGAGACCGCGGTCGAGGACCGGCTCGGCGTCTTCTTCCTGCGGCGCGACGCCGACGCGGCCTGGGACGCCGGACGCGTGCGCGGCGCCGAACGACGTCAGCGCGCTCGCCGGGGAGAAGTGGGACCTCGTCGAGCTCGCGGACGTCGACTCCGACGCGTCCCTCGACATCGTCACGAGCGAGGAGGACTACGGCGACGTCGGCCTCGGCGTCGTCTGGTACCGCAACCCCGGCGACCCGTCGCGAGCGTCGTCTTCGACGACGTAAGTTGAATCCGACGTTGAAGCCACTAGTTTATTTTACTTCACTTTCTTAAAGGTCTTGAGCGCCCGATTTGCATCCCGGTGAATAATGCCGATGAAGAAGTCGCGCAATCTGCTTCCTCCATGGCCACCAGGCCGTCCATAATTGCTGCGCCGTCCACTGATGTGGTGGATGTCGAAGTTGCCCCCCACGAGGCCAGTAATGCGGCACTCACTGTACAGGATAGAGACCGTGAAACAATTTCCGTTTTTCTTCCCTCCGAGTATCGTTTTTTCAGACACCCAGTCACCGTGTTGCTCGAGGAAGGCAGGTTTAAAGCACCAGAGCTTGGCGTACTCCGCCCGTTTCGCTAGGCTGATCTTCGCACGGTTGAGGTCTTCGTTCGTCGCCTTTCGAAGACCGTCGCTATAGATGTGGCCACCGACGGCCAAAAAGCCTCCGCCGAAAGCATGGGCCAGCCTGGCTGCCCCCCGTGAACGCTCTTGTTCGCTGTTGCGGTCCTGAATTGCTTTCAAGCATATTTTCGCTCGATGAGTGGCGCATTTCTCCAGTTGTTTGGCAACTTCTCGTGGTTCGTCGGAGTCTATCAGGATTTGAACGCTGTGGTTCGTCTGCATTGAGCAAAAGCATCCGAGTCCCACTCCACGACGTCCATTCTCGTTCCGCTCGACGTGGTGGAGGTTGATCAAGGCGCCGTGACCGCCGGCTGCGGGAACGGGTTCGACGATCTTGGCCTGCGTGACGGGGTCCACGCAAGCAAAGCACCGCAACCGCGTCCGCGGTTGGGTCCCGTCTGCGAGGGTGGACACGAGCTGCTCGAGGATTGGGGACGGGATGGAGAATTCATCCATCCACTCGTTCTCCTTGAAGACGAAGAGGTTGCGGCCGCGCGCGAGCTCTCTCGAGACCCCGCAGGCGGCGCAGTCGGCGGGCTTCGCGGGGTCTAGGAAGTCGTCCTTGCTGTCGAACAGCGCGCGCCAGAGGTACGAGCTGCCCTGCTCCTCGCCGATCTCGTCGCTCCAAAAATGGTCGGGAGGATTGAACAGGGCCAGCTTCAGGAGACGCTTGGAAATCTTCTTCGCGTGGGACTTTGAGCAGAGCTGTGACCCCCGGAAGTCGGGCGCCGGCGCCGGGGCGGGCGCCGGCGCCGGCGCCGCGCGGCGGGCCGCCGACGCCGCGAAGGCGGCGCGGTCGGCGTCCGTCGCGCGTCCGGCCGCCGGCCGCGCGGCCGCGGCGGCGCGCGGCGCGGGAGCCGGTGCGGCGGCGCGCCGCGGCGCCGCCGGAGCGGCGGTGGCCGGCGCGGCGGCGGCGCGCCGCGGCCGGGCGGGCGCCGCCGGAGCGGCGGTGGCCGGCGCGGCGGCGGCGCGCCGCGGCCGGGCGGGCTTGGACGCGGGCTTGGACGCGGGCTTGGCCGCGGGCTTGGCCGCGGTCTTGGCCGCGGTCTTCTTCGGCCGCGGCCTTCGGCCCGGTCTTCTTCTTCGCCGCCGGCTTCGCCGCCGGCCGCCGCGCGACAGGATCTTGCGGCGCGGGCACGAGCCGCTCGGGAACCCGGCGGCGCTCGTCGAGTTGAGACTCGTTGAGGCCTAACAGGCCGCCCGTCCAGTCCAAAGCTGCTCGCAGAGGGCCCCACATACGAGACATAGTCCTCGCGGGAGACGTGTTGAGGCGTGCAGCGAGTCGATCTTGCCAGAAACGTGGCGGTATAGCGAGCCACCGTCGTCGCCTCGGGGCCCGTGCACGTCGTCGTCGGCAACGCGGGCGACGTCGAGGGCCTGACGCGCAAATTCGAGCCCGCGCCGGCCTGGTCGCGGAGCCGGGCCATGGCGTTGGGCTGGGGGCGGCTCGCGGCGACGCGGTCGACGCTCACCGTGGAGCACGTGTCGTCCGCGAACGGGACGATCCTCGACTCGTTCGCGCTGTCCAAGGACGCCTAATTACGAGACGACGCAGCGCCCCTCCTGGCTCGGCCCGTCGTCGGCGCCGCCGCCGTCCCGGCGGACGAGCGCGAGGGCGCGGATCTCGCGGATCCACTCGTCGCGCTCCGTCGCGGACGCGGCCTGGAGGAGCCACGCGCTCCCGTGCTTGCCGCCCGGCGTGGACACGGCGAACGCGTAGGGCGCGTCGTCGGCGTCGGCCTCGGACACGTCGACGGGCCCGCCGTCGGCGACCTCGATGTAGCCCCGGCATTTGTCGTCGCCGTAGTTGCGGAAGTAGTAGAGGCGGCCGTGCTTGGGCCAGACCTCGACCCAGCGCGTCCGCCACGCGGTGTTCAACGTCCCGCGCTTCCGCAGCAGACCCGCCTTGGCGACGTCGCTCGAGTCGGACCGCGCCGCCGCGGGCAGGCGCGCCGCCGCCGCCTCCATGCGCTGGAGCCGCGGCAGTAGGTCCGGCAGGTCCCTCCGGCGGACGAGCTCGGCCGTGACGCCGCGGAGCGCCGCGCGCGCGGCCGCGTCGGCGCTCACGTCGCCCCGCAGCACGACGGCGACGTGCAGGAGGAGCTCCTCGCCGCGGGGCGCCTCGGCGATGGACCGCGCGAGGTCGCCGACGCGCGCCTTGGCCT